ATGCAGGACATACTACTGGTCACATGTGAATGTGCCACACAACAAAAAAGCATCATACACCACCTTGTCAGAGAACATGACATGGGCAGCTGGCACACCACAGAACTCAGTTGAGCTCATGTGCACAATCTTGCAGGCATGCTGGGCAGCCAGCATTGGCCCCAGGATGTAGGGGGTGGCCCACTTGAGCAGGTCCATGACAAGCACCTCAAAGAGGGAGCTGTTGTCCAGGTTGGTGGTCAGCATCCTGTTGGAGTTGGCAACAAGCTTGAAACCATTTTTGCTAAGGAGTACAAGGTCCAGGAATTTTCCCATGAGATGGGCATGTGTTCCCATGTCAGAGACAGTAGAAATGTAGTGGGTGATGTGGTCATATGCCTTGGTGTTGATGTGACCAGTGGGGATGGACAGCTTGGTGAGTGCAAGCATGATCTGCAACTTGACGCGGTGCTTGGGCACCTTGCCATCATCATTGGCATGGATGGTCTTGATACCAATCAAGTATAATTTTGGGTGATATATCTTTATTGCCAGTGCGCAGGCTGCTGTGGGTGGCAGCGGTCCGGACGTGCCGGGGCCGTCACCACCAGGCGGGGGCGCGTTGGTGGGCACACGAGGTGAGTGGTGGTCGTGTCCATGGTCAGAGTTGATACAGCAGCTGGCTCTTCTAGGGAATTTTAGGGTCTTGTAGCTCAGAACACTTTACAGGGGATTTAGCTCAGTGGTAGAGCGTCTCGTTTGCATCGAGAAGGCCGGGGGTTCAAACCCCCCAATCTCCATCTATACCTTGTAAGTGAAGGTATAAGACACGTTATCAATTTTTGGCCAATTTACAATCCCTTCCTTTATTTATCTTTCCATTTCTCCTTAGCAGATGGATGATTATGTATTTAAATTCAATGACAGTGCAAGCCTTGCAAAGTATGGGTGTGTGCCAATACATAGGAGCAATGAAATGAAAAGAAGGCATGCCAGCTGTGATTGGCTGCAACATTCCCTGGGGAGTGTATCCTTTCAGGATCACTGTCTGCAGTTTGGTGTTTGCTTTGAATTTCATGACCAGTCATTCCCTGCACAGCAGACATGACCTAGTACACATGGGAGACAATATGTACAGCAAGGAAGGGTAGCAATAGAGAACAATGTAGAAGAAGCAGACATGCAATGGCAATCTTAATATGCCTAAATACACACACAAGTTAAAATCTTGTAATCACATACCTAAACGTCCTTGCATCCATTATGATATGTGGCTGACCTGCAGAGCATGCTTGCTGTGACAATCCAGACATCACGTAATTAATGTATTGGGAACTTGTGACAGGAACTTGTCTTTGGTTCACTGTTGCGAGTCAATTGT